TGAATAAAAAAATTCAGAATGGATAGCCAGGAGAGGAAATGGGCCGGTGTTGATAATAGAGGAGCAGGAGCAGATAATAAAGCTCATGGAGGACCAAACAGAGATGTTCAGGTCCCTGATTGCACTGCAGTCGGAATACATCCATGCTTGACTCCCCCTGCAGGCCATACAGAACTGTATTCCATGCCCTCCCCAAACTCCCCACACACATTCCTCACATGTTTCCTGCCCGTCATAGTACCCCTTACACTCCACCCCTAGGGACATGTACCATAATGACAGCTGGACTTACACACAGCTGTGAGAGCCTCATTTGAGAGAATGCTGCTCAGTGTCATGTCCCGTGTAAGAAATGGAAATCTGTGTATTGCTGTTTAATAAAAATTTAGTCTTAAAAATTAAATGATTCTTTATTTGTGTCCTACACACAGTTGTTGCAGCAGAAATTGATACACAGTGGCAATTGACAGACTATAATTAACGCTCAGGCAGGAATCATTACAGGGATCATTCAAGGTGGCAAGTAAACAATGCTTGGCTGAATGCATTACAGAAAGACACATTATTGGGACTCATTATCAAAATGCTGCCTCAAAGCATCCCCGATTCGAATACCCCTGCCCCTCTTTGAGCCCCTCTGATAGCCCTGGTGTCTGGCTGCTCAAAATCAGTCACCAGGCAATCCACCTCAATGCTCCACCCCGGGGAAACTTTTCCTCCTTGGCTTTACAAATGTTATACAAAGCACAACAGGCTGCTATGACCATGGGAATATTTTCCTCATTGAGGTCTAACCTGCCAAAAAGGCAGCATCAGTGAGCCTTTAATCTGCTAAATGCACATTCATTGGTCATTCTGGATTACTGTGGGCATTTCCACAACCTCTATTGGAATCTTCTGGTCTGGAAAGAAAGTCTCTGCATGCAGCTTTCTATACAGGCCAGTGTTCCTGAAGATGTGTGTGTCATGCATAGGGGCCTACCAAATTCACAGCCATGAAAAACTCATCACGGACTGTGAAATCTGGTCTCCCCCCGTGAAAACTGGTCTTTTGTGTGCTTTTACCCTATACTGTACCGATTTCACGGGGGAGACCAGTGTTTCTTAAACTGAAGGTCCTGACCCAAAAGGAAGATGCAGGGGGGTTGCAAGCTTATTTTAGGGGGGTAACAGTATTGCCACCCTTACTTCTGTGCTGCCTTCAGAGCTGAGTGGCCGGAGAGTGGCAGCTGGTGCCCGGGAGCCCAGCTTTGAAGGCAGCGCCTCGCCAGCAACAGTGCAGAAGTAAGGGTGGCAATACCCCATACCATGCCACCCTTACTTCACACTGCTGCCTTCAGAGCTGGGCAGCCAGAGAGTGGGAGCTGCTGACTGCGGGCCCAGCTCTGCAGGCAGCAGCACAGAACTAAGGGTGGCAATACCATACTTTGCCATCCTTACTTCTGCGGTGCTGTTGGCGGTGGCTCTGCCTTCAGAGCTGGGCTCCCAGCCAGCAGTCACCGCTTCCCAGCTGCCATCCCTGAAGGCAGCACCGCCGCCAGCAGCAGCGCAGAAATAAGGGTAGCAGCACCGCACCCCTCCCTACAATAACCTTGCAACCCCTTCCCCACAACTCCTTTTTGGATTAGAACCCCTACAAGTTACCATGAAATTTCAGATTTAAATAGCTGAAATCATGAAATTTATGATTTTTAAAATCCTACATCCATGAAATTGAGCAAAATAGGCTGTGAATTTGGTTGGGCCCTAGTCATGCACCTTCCCTGACTACCATATGCTGATGTCAGTGAAATGACCCCGGCGATCCACCAGCATCTGCAATACCATAGAGAAGTAGCCCTTTCTGTTGATGTACTCTGTCGCAAGATGGCCTGGGGTCAAAATTGGGATATGCGTGCCATCTATCCCCCCACCGCAGTTAGGGAATCCCATGGCTGCAAAGCCATCCACTATTCACCACCCAGAGTCACAGTCCTTCGTAGCAGGAGGCAATTAATGGCCCTGCACACTTGCATCGCCGCAACACCCATGGTGAACATCCCAACTCCAAACTGATTCACGACTGACCGGTAGCAGTCTGGAGTTGCCAGCTTCCACACAGCGATCTCCACTCGCTTTTTCACAGCGAGGGCAGCTCTCATTGTGGTGTCCTTGTGCCGCAGGGCAGGGGCAAGCTCTGCAGACAGTTCCAGGAAGGTGGTTTTGCACATCCAAAAGTTCTGCAGCCCCTGCTCGTCATCCCATATGTGCATCACAATTAAATCCCACTACTTGGTGCTTGTTTCGCAAGCCCAGTAATGATGGTCCACCGGGTGCAGCTGCTCCATGAATGCCAACAGTGATCTTGAATTGTTTCTTTCAGCGGCACATAACAGGGCAGGCACCACCAATTCATTTTCAGATTTGCAGTTCATGAAATACTGCAGGATCAGCTGTGTTGTGTTCATAATGCTTATTACAAGTCTGAAGAGCAGCGCAGGATCTATGCTTTCAGGCAGAGATGGCGAGTGCCGAGTTTACAGGGGAAGTTGAAAAACGGCACAAAATGTCATCGGAAGCTCATGGATTGATGGGACAGAGAAAACTGCATCATGGGGGCAGTGATCCCACCCCCATAATGCACTGCTATCCATTCCCAGAACTTCTAGTGTCAGAAGGTGGTGATTTGAACAGTGGGCTAGCTATCCCCGGTGCAGTGCTCTCTCTGTCGGTGCGAGAGCACCAACTGTGGACACGCTCCACCCACATTATCTGGGTTGAGGGGCAGCAAAAGAGTGCCTATTAATGAAACACATGCCTATGTAGGTTGTGGCACTTCTGTGTATTTTTATGGAATCAATAATGGTGTTGGTCTTTTATGGCAATGTATGCAGCATTATTGCGCTAACAGTGATGATTGTATTTTTGATGTGCTGCACTAACACTGAAGCATGACAAATACATGGGAAAAGATTTACCAATTGCTTTAGAAGTAATCTGAACCCTGACTGAACTTTTATTAGGCTCACATATCATTTGCTGTTTTGACTTCAGAACAAGGAAAATATTTTTTATAACAACTTATGTAAAGTCCCAGAAGGAGGAATGATCTTTCGAAAGACTGGAATCTTGAAAAGTGAAAAATTTGTCCTGATGTGGTTTCATAAACTAAATAATCGGACAGGAGAAAATATATTAATCAAAAATTATATATCCTTTAAAAAGAAAATATTCTTGGAGCCTTTTACAACAGCTCCATTTCAGAGATAATCAGAATGTCATAAAATGGTCATACTGGATTAGACTAATGGTCCATCTAGCCCAGTCTCCTGTCTTCCAACAGTGGCTAATGCCAGATGCTTCAGAGGGAGTGAATAGAACAGGGCAATTTACTGAGTGATCCATTTCCCAGCTTCTAGCAGTCAGTGTCAAATCACGATAGTTCACTAGGTTACATTTGTAAAGGTACTTGAGTGGATTTGTTAATTTGTATGATCAAGTTGAAATGTCATATCAAGGGGCAATAAATAAATTGGAAAATGGAAATAAAAACTTTTTAAAAAAAGAATCAAGGTTAAAGAAGATCCTAGTGTTAAGAAAGTGCAACTGTTTAAGAAAATAAAAAATGCTTTGTGAATATTCATACAGGCCTTGATTCAGAAAGGCACTCCTAAGGAGTTCAACATGTGCTTAAGTACTTTGCTGAATCAGGGTCTGATTCCAGTAGTTACAGATCATTATTAAGCAGATTAGTTAATCCAAAAGAGTGGGGGTGGGGGATTAGGCTATCTAGAAGAGAGTGAATAATTTGTAATAAAAAATCATTCAATAAAATTTGCACCTTTTTCTCTTGGAAAATTATCTAAAAACAGACTGCAGAATTCTTTTATATTTTAATTATTGAAAATTATTTATAGATTTCTTCAGTGCATAAATTTTGGTCTGCAATAATTCATTAGCAATTCACTGTGAATATTTAAAAAATTCACATGGCATTAGTCAATCCCCAGTCCTTCAATTACCTCTGGGTGGATGCAGAATGAAGGTCATAATTAGATATGTGATATGATATTGATTGGGTGACTGATGTAGTTAAAGAACAACAGAATGAGTTTTGAATTGCAGATTCAATTGTAAAATCTGCAAACTGAAATTCATATTGTTGCTTAGTTATTTATGCAATTTGAAAATCACAGTTTGTTGTTTATACATTTTGACATTCTAATTTTGGCAAATATTCAACTTAAAAATTCATTATTCTCAAAGTCTAGTTGACTGGAATGCACTCTTCACTAGAATATTCATGGAAAATTCATTTGCCAGAATAGTAAAGCTTATTCACTGGAATATTTATGAACTGTAAACATAAAAAGGTCATGAACACAGTCAAAGCAAATATATGAATAATGCAGATTTCTATAGGTGAATATCAATTCTCCCCTCCCAGGTCATGTTCAGTTCTTCATAGGAGAAAGGGAGAAGTCTTGTGGGTCAGGCATGGAATTGGGAATTAAGAGATAAATCACTTTGGCCCTACTTCTACAATGAGCTCCATATGGACAGACCACTGTGGAGCTCACTTGAAGTCAATAGGGTTCAGTGCAGGACAGGGCAATGTCTGCACAGAACTCATTACATGATACCTTAGTCTCTCTGTGTTGTAAAATGAGTGTGTTAGGGTGGTGTTAGGTTTTGTTCTGTAGTGCTTTGAGTCCCTTGAATAGAAGGTGCTAAATAAGTCCAAAAAATCAGTATATAATTCAGAAATAATTTCTTTGAAGGTACCACAATGTTGAGAAATCAATCTTGGTAGTGATTGCCATCTATTTGAATTGATTAAGAGATGACTTTATGATAATAGGAAATAATATCTTGCTAATTTCTTTCTTACGAGCTCTTTAAAGTTAATGGGCACAAATACAAAATATCAATATCCACTCCCTTAGTTTGGCATCCATTGTGCACATCTTCACAAGGAACCCATAGGAATTATTTTAAACAAGTTTGTTCTTTTCCATCAGGTTGGTGGTCACACCATGTTGCCCATTCGTTGGATGCCTCCTGAGAGTATCATGTACAGGAAGTTCACCACAGAAAGTGATGTCTGGAGCTTGGGGGTCGTTTTATGGGAAATCTTCACCTATGGCAAACAGCCATGGTATCAGCTCTCAAACAATGAGGTGTGTATAATGCACTGTGGATAACAAAATGTGCTTGAGATGGTGGAGTTTAACTAAAGATATGGATGCCACAAGGGAATCACTCTCTGATTGGAAAGGATAGCACACAAGCTGCAATGTTATTTACTATAAAAATCACTACACACTTGTCAACACTTACGGTATTACCGCAAGTGTCATGTTTTGGGTCCATTTTTCTCTGGCTTTTTTAATTTTTCCCACTAAGAGAGAAGGGTGTTATCCAAGTAGAATATGAGAAAGTTGTGAGGTAGGCTGGAACCTGCCTGGAGTATGGAGAAAAAACTGAGGTGACAAGTGTTGCAGTCGTGCAAAGGAAAGGAGCTGGAGTATCTTCAGCCCAACCTCTGGCAGTCTCTATTACAGGTATCAACCAGTGTGTGTGACTCAAGAACAATGCTGCTGTCCCACCCCAGTCTATAACAAATTGAGGGGATCTGGAAGTCCTTTGAAGCTCAGGAAAACTCTGCCAGGAATGACCCCTTGTATCTCCAGTCGCTGACCACCTGCCACTGTGATGCCTCTATGAGCATGTGGGAGAGGATAGTTCCGAGTGAGAGAGGGGTATGGAGTCTGTATCACAAACCCTACCACAATTAGGGTACTTGTGCTCAGTCTCAACAGAGGCTTGTGTGGGTGCGGGAGCTGAACTTAAACTCTTAGAATGAATTACCCTGTTAAGTAGGGTGAAGGGCATTGGTCCCTCTAAGTTAGGATTTTGGGAGGTTGATGGAACAGATTTGGGAAGCTTATACCATTGTTGCCCGTGATTTACCAGTTCTGTAGACAGAGAATTTCAGTCTACAGGGCTGCCAGTTTAGCCCCTTTCATAAGAAATAAATTCACTCACACTCAGGGCTTGTCTACAGAGGAAAATTGTACTAGTTTTAGGCAAAGTATGAATTTAAACTGCTATAGCTATACCAGTGCCACACCCCATGAGGACCCTCTTATTCCAGATTGCCTTTTTCTGGTTTAGCTGATGTCACTTTGGAAGTGGTTTAAGCCAGTGTTTTTCAAAATTCGGGTTGTGACCCAGTACTAGGTCATGCCATGTAAGGCACTGGGTTGCTTTGCTCAGCACCCAGGGACCCTAGCAGCTCTGGTCAGCACCGCCAACCGGGACGTTCAAAGTCCCATCAGCGATGCTGCCCAGCTAAGGCAGGCTAGTGCCTAGCTATTGCTCCATTGATTCTTTCTTTGCTCTCTCACTAGGTGATCGAGTGCATCACTCAGGGCCGAGTTCTGCAGCGACCTCGCACGTGCCCAAAGGAAGTGTACGACTTGATGCTGGGTTGTTGGCAACGGGAGCCTCACATGAGGCTCAACATCAAAGAAATCCATTCCCTCCTTCAGAACTTGGCCAAGGCTTCTCCAGTTTACCTGGATATTCTAGGCTAGAGCCTCCTAGCATTTCCTCTTATGGGCTGCGTGAATGAATGTGTTCAACGGCCGCTGAACTCCATCAAAATATGTTCTTAACTCTGACAGTAGTAATGACAAAGATGCGGAGAAGCTTTCAAAGGGCAAGCAACGTGCACTTCTCCATCTTTAGACAGAGTATTGACTTTTTTGACATTGTTGAAATGTATCTCTTTTCTCTTTCTCTTTCTGTTTCTCTCATTTTTTCTCTCTCCTTCTATTCAATCTGGCTTCTGCGTTATTGTAACTCTGCATAGACAAAGGCCTTAAAAACCTGATCTGTTATATCAGCAGACACTCCAGATTGCCCACAACTAACAATGCCTTGTTGTACTCATGCCTTTGATGTGGATGAAAAAAGGGAAAAAAATATTTGACTCGAACTTTGTGACTTCTGCTGCACAGATACTGGGAGTTTCTCTTGATTCACCTCTACTTTTTTTGCTTCGGCGTGTGGGTGGAAAAAGAAGATTGGTGTTCTCTATTGGAAGCTTATTTCTAGTTGAGATAAAGCCAGATAGAAAGAAAACAGCGCTGTGTGCTCCACTATATGGAGGAACCATGGGATCAGATGGCATCCAACCCTGCTCAAAAACACTGAAATGATATAATGGAAGGAAAGGACTCTGTGCTTTCCTCTGGGAGCCTGTCTGAGGAGCAAAGGGATTGTTTAAAGAGTGTGCTTGGTTAGCACTTTTCATCACCAGATCCAGTACAATGGTCTATGGTAAAAAGAAAAAGATGCTGCCTGCATTGCACTAGATTACACAACACTACGATATGCTAAATACAATCCCTCGGCTTCTCTTAGAGTAGGATATTGTGATAGCACTGGTATGAAAGTGTTCTCCAGCTAGCCTTTGGTAATACAGGCGGAAGCTAGGCTGATTAATGTACAGTATGCATTTCAGGGTCAAGTGTTGAAGCTGAGGACTTTGATCAGACAGGACAAGTTGTAGATGCTGAGGCAAGCTGTAGATACTGTGCTTGTCAGGCAGCATATTCCTACTGCTCTCCTTCTCCATTCCCATTTTTTCACTGTGCAAGCAAAATTGTGCATGGTCTTCGTCGATTAATGCCCTTTGTGTAGAAACTATTGCTCATCTTGTTGTACACCCTGATAGGAATAGCAAATCCATAAAGGTATAACATATATTTAATTAGAGGGAGCTAATGGAGGTCATTAGCTACATTCAGATGTCTTTACATTGTTACAGATATGATACTACGCAAATAATCTAAAACATGGAAATAGTAGATTATGTTTGAGCCATGGCAGGGGTGACAGAATTAAGTCCCTGGAGACAGCTAGATGTGATCCTGCGGTTATCACTTGACATTCATAGCATACAGACACTGAGTTCAGCACCAATTTCTGGTTGATATAGTGGTGTCATTCCCAGCATCCACTGTTCTGTAATTTATTTATATCTGGTTGGAAAGGCATTGTGTGCATACTGTATATGCATGGCCACTGTGCTGATGGCAAGTGCATGGGCATCTATGTTTATTTTTCAAACAGATGCTGAAGATTTAAAATTTAGATTTAGGATTATTTTTCTTATGAACTCTTACAAATGAAAATAAATCTTACCTGTTCCTCAAGAACATTTGCCACCCTCTGTGAGGGGGCTTTGCTGCAAAAAAATTGTCCTTTTTTTTAAAAAAAAAAATATTATGAGCCAGATCAAAGAGTAGTAGTAGTTCTTCATCTTTGTGTTGTGGTTATTTTATTTAATACATTAAGCATTTTATTTTTGTAAATGTTCCCATAATATTTTAATATATAATTTGCTTGCATATATTATTTATTAAAGCACTTTCTTTCTTCCTTCAGTGGCTTTTAAAGCCAGTTCACAGAGATTTTGAACATTTTCAGAAATAAAACAATTGACTTGGCAGTGATGGAGTTGAACCCACCTTGTGTCAGTGAAAAAAGCATTAAAAATAAACTTAATAATGTAACTATAAAGCCATATGCAGTATCTCTTTAATAAACCAGATGTTATTTCTGAACCACTAAAACTGGAAATTAAAAAAAAAAAAAAGCCAGACGAGGACTCATACAAAATAGGCTTTAAGATTTTATCTGGGCTGTCTTAGAAGTTTGAATAGCAATAGCCCTGTTAAAAAAAGATTGAACATTCAGGGAAACCCATTCTCTTGAGGGCCTGAGTTTTATGTTTTTAAGAAATTCAGTTTCAATATAACAGAAAGTGGAAAAGAAAATGTAAAGTGTTGAAATCCACTGAGACTACCCTTTTAGTGTGAGGAGGGAAGAGTTGTGTATTTGGGAAGGGAAGTACAAAATTCCTACCTGTTGTATTCTGTCATAGTTCCTTATGCCCTTTAGAAAAATGTATCCTTTTTGTCTCCAAGATATTGTTCTCTCTGAGCAATGACCCGAACCTGAAAGCAAACAGGTAGGTTTTGCAAGAACTGATGGAATGTATACTAAAAATGAAGGGAAAAAATACAATTTGATCTAGTGGCATCCGTTTTTCATTACTAAAAGAGCATACTAGAGTCATGTATGGGGGAAATATAGTGTGTTAGAATACACTGTGCAACAGCACATCAGTATGTCAAACTTAAAGGACCAAATGTTCTACAGAGCCAAAAATATGGATAAACTTGGCCTATATCACACATGTGAACAGTAGTCCATAAAAGCTATAATTAGTGTAGATTAGCTATTAACTAAAGCTAAACCAATTTTTGCATTTATTCATAAGAAGGTGCGTAAGTGTAGCAAAATGAGTGGAAAAGAGAAAAAGAAGTATGTTCAAATGGCAATGAGGGGTGAGTGTATGTACAGACATTTGTCATGCTTGCAACTTCAGCTAAATCTTGTACACTGAGAAAATATGACAATCAGGCTCATTACAAAATCTTTCTGGACTATGCTACAAACCGATCATATATATATAATATATATTATATATATATGTGTTTACATAGGGTGTGTATATATACATGGTATATACATATATGTATATGTGTGTTATAAATATTTGATTTATACATATGCAGACATACGTATACAGTATGTGTGATTGTGTGTATATGTATAAATTTACATATACATATATTCTAACATGATAATTAGGGTACAGTGTTATTAATAAAGTCCGCTAAATAACCAAAATCTTTTTTTCCTTTGGTATTTCTTTTTCTATGTTTATAAGATTTAACTTTTTATGTGAATGCAGTTCCGCATGGGTGGAGGAAGTACTAAAATGCCAGAGATATTTTTAACAATCAACGTTTTTTCCCAAATGATTGTATAAAAGCAGCCCCTCTGTTAGTGTCTAATATTCATTGATTTCTCACAGAGAAATGAACAGATTGGCTTCAAACTTCCTAGAAGAAAGTTTGGTTTGAAATAATTTCTGTTTTTGTGCTATTATTGTTGTATTGTTCAACAGCAGCACGACAGCTCCAATGGCATTTTGCACTTCTCTTCAGTTACAAAATAATTCCAAGAATGAGCTGGAATTTTCAGACTGCAACACAACTGGTAGACCCATGGTGAGAACTCCAAAACCCTGCAGTAAGAATAGCAGCAGCTAGTATTGGGAATTTCCCACATTCTCTCCTTTACCCTCAGTAAAGCTGCAGAACTCAGCAACCAGCTGTAGTGAACAGTATTTGTAAAGCAACCGTACCCCATGATGCATGATGGAACTTCTTTTTACATAGGAGTTCATTCATTTTAATTTATAAACCAATATATTTATATATTGTCTACAGTTCAATAAATTACTTCTGTCTCTCTCTCTCTCTCTCTCTCTGCTCTTTGGCGATATTTTTGTTGTGCTTGATATAGACTTTCACAGAACACTTTAAAGATAAAAGAAACACCCCAATAAAGCAAACACTGGCTGACTAAGTTACAGTGCATATACGTAATAACAAGACTGTCTCCAGGTTGGTACAGCCTGTAAAAGAAATTCAAATATTGTTGTAAGAATGTGGGGGTGGGAAGGGGGGTTGGGGTTTCTGGCTGCAGATGAAGGTTTGGATAGCACAGGAAGCTGTATTTTCTTGTTGTCAGGGCTGGGATGAACCACTGCTGCTCTGAGTCAAGAGGTCCTTGAAGAGCCTTAGTTAATTTACTTTATTTTATTTTTTGCTACATTCATCACAAATATGAAGCAAAAAAAAAAAGTCTACAATGTTGCAGGGAAAACACTGTGAATTTCACAACAGCAACCAAGTGACTATTTTGCCATATTTTTAAAGTACGTCTCAGGAGAAGAAATGGGAAATGATGGGTATATTATTTTCTTGTCTATGCATTCTAGGCCAGGTCTATGGATTTTTTTTGTTTGCTTGTAAAAAGTTCTGAGTGAAGATTAGCTGAAATGTATTTTATAAACACAGAATACTTTGGGCAAGCATAGCAGAAGCTGCTTCTAGCAAGGCTGATGGACAGGAAGGCATAAGAGAACAACAATCAAATCAAATCTTTTCAGAGGCCTATATCTTGCAGCTTATATGTATTGTTCTGTAACTTAAAGAAAAACAAATGTTGAACAAGCAGCTGAGAATTTTATATACAAGTAAATCACTTCAGTATGGATATTTAATTACATCACCAATAGAGAAAGATTCAAGTTATTATGAAATATTTGCCCCAGCCCTGCTCTCTACCTACACTTCATATATATATTTATATATATGTATTTCCAGATACCACTCTCGAGAGAGAGAGTGAGAGAGAGAGAGGGAGATACCTACATATAAATATAAATCTCTATATTTGTCACTAAAACTGTGACCTGGTGTTTACAGCTATCTTTCTCCTTTCTTTTTCTTTTTCACTGTGATGTCTCTGTGCAGATATTTAGTGGTTCTTGTTTTGCAGTTTGTTGTAGAAATTCATTGCTTTAAAAGATCCATTGCATCTTGGCTGATTTTGAAGTGATGCCTGAGTATCAGTGTTAAAAGATTTGTTTGTGAATCATGTGACCAGCTTCTGTCAACATGACATGGGTAGTCTCTTGTACTACAGTGTATTTAATACAAATGATGTCTTTCAATAAACAGTGTCATCCAAAAGAAAGACTGTAAGTGATACAATGATGATTACTTTAAAAATGTATACAATTTTAATGAAACATTGTGTGGTATTTTCTTTTATTTAAATCCTGTTTAAAAAAACGTGGTAAATAATGAATGGCTAAATGTGCTTGGAAATGTGACATATTTACAGTCTAAAATAATGATAAAAAACATTCAGGTACTATACTCCTATGAGATGAAAGAAGCATCACATACAAAACATTTATGAAATTTGCTACCTGTATTTACACAATTAGGGCTATTAAAAAAGTCCTAAAGTGAACCCACTCGAAAATTTGGGTACATGTGCATGTGAATACTTGTTTGTCATACAGCTATCCATATAGCATATGTTGTCCTGCAATAAGGTGCTTATCAGTAGGTGAAAGTACTTTCTGGATACAGTTTATGTGCATGTTCTCAAAATGTGTCTCATAATCCACAGCACCACTAATAAACTAGCTAAGATTAGGGTTTGGGTTTCTTCCTTGTCCCAATGTAGTATTAAAATGATGTGAACAAATGTAGCATTAATTCAAGGCCAGCCTGTATAGTAGCTGAAACTCCTAAATAGTAATATATAATAAAAGCAGTGTTTATACATTCAACATGGCTTCAGCCGCCTAATTGAAGATCCCACTGTAGGTTATTGATTTACCCAAGTGTAACCCCCACAACTTCTGGGTGTGGTGTTCTTTCCCATCTAGTGGCACCGAGACCACCTAGAGAGAGAGGGAGACACTGAAATTAGTGCCAGGTTTCAGAGTAGCAGCCGTGCTAGTCTGTATCCACAAAAAGAAAAGGAGGACTTGTGGCACCTTAGAGACTAACAACAAGTCCTCCTTTTCTGTCTGAGATTCATGAGTTTGCGCAACAGCTTTAGCTACCAGCCAGTTGGCTTTAAGCTCAGATGGTAGAGGCTCATGCACGAAGCTCCAGAGGTCCCAGATTCGATCCCGCCCACTGACGACCGGGGTCTGTTGGCGTTACACAAAGCCTTCAGGTTTAAAGGATACCAATAGGAAAGCCACTGTATGGCTACAACTGTTTGGCTTTGCCAAGAGATCTGCTTGAGATTGCAGGAGCTTGCTGTCATTCTAAAAGTCTGAAGGGAAATTATCAGGTAAAGAGCAGCCCAGCACAAGACTGGTCTAATGCCATGAAAATAGCATGAAGATCTGTGCTAGTAAATTAGTTGTCAATGTATCATTCAGTCAGTGGGAAGCGAGCCTCCTAGTGTGGGCTGACAGACTCGGGCCAGCAAGGCTCCCATTAGCACTCTACAAAGAGCTGTCTAGACAGACTTTGAAGTTGTGGCTCAGGCTGAAGCTCGGCCTCTGAAGCCTAGGGAAACTTGCTTCCATAGGTTGTAAAGACATACCCTTAGGGTCATATTATACCATTTCATGGTGACTATGCAGGATGCAGATAGAGCAGGAGTATGTCATACTCTCAGATCTTGATTGCTGAAATGAAACTCCTAGCCATTATGGCCTTGGCTCCACTAGAGAACTGACTTGGTTGTGATTGTACTGGATACACTGAACCACTTGAAGTGGAAAAGATTCAGTGTATCCACACTCCCCATGCTGAGTGGGTTTATGTTTTTCCCCTCGTCCACACTAGTGCTGTCTTAAACCATTTCACATAAACCTGGCCATACATTCTAGGTGACGTTGCAAGGCCACACATGTGCACTGTGAGACACTAGTGGGAAGCCTAGTTAAATTGTTACAGCTTGCCTGTATCCACACTGACACTGAACTACTTAAGCTTTAACTAGTTATTAACCCTGCTAAAAGATAACCTCTTCTAGCTGAGTATTACGCTGGTTGGGGTATTTCTCTATGTGTATGCAGCATTCTGCAAACATTCTAAGGGTTATCACTGGTTTAATTTCTTTAGTATAGACCAGGCCAATGTGACAGTTCACACAGTTGTGCTAACAGGACTCCTCCACCTCTCTAGCAGCACAGCAACCCAAGGTACCATGTAGCAGCGGGCCGCCCAGCTTATGCAGTACCCCTCTCAAGGATGGTGGTGTCAGGCATGCAGTAGGAATTAATAAAGCATAAGAGCTGCACCCTTGCTTATTGCCAATCAGGTGGAGGGGACCATGGGGCCCTTAGAACCTGATCAGTGGGAGATTTGCCAGCAGTACTGGATGAGGTTCTTACTCAAGATCATGAAGGTTTGATCCAGGACCATCTGCTAAAGCAAGAAATTGTCATAGCTGTTGTTCTGTAGCACCTACTTGGCTAAGAGCAGTGCTACTAAATGCACAGTACTTAGAGTATCGCTACAAATGAGGGGTTTACCTTAAGGTTTTCATATTACTGGCATTGTTGTTATCATCTTTGCCCCGACAACTGTAATGATAAAATTTGGTTTTGACTGCACATAGGTATGCCTTAGAGAGGCTGACAAGCTTGCAGATCATCTCAATATTTTCAGTGAGTGATGGACAAACTGTAATGGTTTGTTAAAGCCTTTTGTTATCTCCCCACCACAAACTGCTAGCCAAGAATACTCACCTATGTGTGACTTTATATAATAATGGTTTGCAACAGATTGTCAGCTGTGTCTTTGACATATTAATAATGTATTCAGAAACCCCTTTACGCTTCCTGTTTCTTTCTTCTCCTTAGAGAGCATAAACTTATTTTAAAAGTTGTAGGGGAAAAATTGGATGTTCAACCCAATTGCTGTGGCTGTTATTGTTTTAGAAACTTTCACAATTGATTTTGTGCTGAAAAAGACTGTCAATCCTGAGTATTAAATGCTTCAAATACCTGTAAGATCAATAATCTTGATAACTGTATTAAAAAACCATTCACAGTTTCTTATTGATTACTCCTGTTAGTATTTCAATGGACATAATTTCTTTTGAGGTCAGTGGAAAAGTTCATGTTACAAAGAATAATAAAAGCCTGTGAAATAATAAAAATATATTTGAATAAGTAAAAGAGGACCAATCAAAGTCTGACAAACTAGATCCTCCAGGATCACTTATAAAAATAAATTTATTATGCATTGGGTTCAAATATGTGCTAGGCAGTTATCATCCAAGCAACCTTCTCTGAGAGTTTTCCTGTCTCTCTAGCAAAGGAAGACAGAAGGCAGAAGATTCTGGAAGATTCTGGCTAAGTAAATGGTGAAGGCTGTGGGGCTATGGTTTTGTGGAACACTGGCCCATCTTCTTTGGGGAGAGAGGGCTGTATAGTTTGGATGGCTTCCACCTCAGTAGAAGGGGGACTAATTTCCTCAGGGACAGGCTGGCTAGAGCAGTCAGGTGGGGGTTAAATTAATAGCAAAAGGGAAGGGTAAAAAGAGGGATGATCTGAGAACTCAGTGAGCACAAAATTGAGATGTTGAGAACAAAATTAATCAAGGAACCAAACGACAAAAAGAGAAGAAATTCTTAAATTGACTATTCACAAATACTAGAAGCCTGGGTAACAAACAAGAGGAATTGGAATTGCTCATTTATGAGCATAAATTCAATCTATGTGATATTATGGAAACCTGGTGGGATGATTCACACAATTGGAATGTTCAAATCAATGGTTATATGCTATTTAGGAAGGATCGAGTGGGTAAAAGGGGAGGGGGAGTGGCACTGTAAGTCAAAATGGTATTACCTGTTTCCAAGTCACGGATAACGCAAAGGAAAATGATTTTGAATGCTTATGGATTAATGTCCTAACAGATATAGCACAAGATGGGGTACTAGTTGATGTCTGCTATATATAGGGTGACCAGATCACAAGAGTAAAGTATCAGGACACAATGGTGGGGGGGTGGAGGCAGCCATAGGCACACAGCCCCGACCAGAGCCATGGGGGAGGGGGACACACAGCCCTAGGAAGCTGCAAGGGGGGGGGAAGGGGCATATGGCCTCTGTTGCAGCCCCTGCTTGGGGTTCATGGCCCCAGCTCCAGCTCCCGGCAGAAGCCATGGCGTGGGGGCGCAGGGCCCCGATCCAGCCCCCGGTTGAAGCCATGGGGCAGGGGCGCATGATCCCAGTTCCAGCCCTGGCTATGCTGCTGGCTCAGCCCAGCTGACAGTCACCTCACTTCCCAGCAGGGCCAGTGAGTGTGACCAGGGGAGGGGGCAGGTCATAGGGGAGTGAGTGGCTAGGAGGTCGGCGGTGGGGCACTGGGCTGTGAGGGGGTGGAGGACGCTGAGCAGTGGGGGAGATTTGTGTGTTTTGGGGTGCTAGGTAGTGGGGTCTGTGTGGGGCACTATGTAGTTGTGGTGGTGGGGCTGTGGGGAAGGGTAGTGGGGGAGGGGGAGATCTGTGTGTGTTGGGGAACTAGGGAGTGGGTGGGTTCTGTGGGGTGCTGGGCAGTTGTGGTGGGGCTGTGGGGGGCAGGGAGAGTTCTGGGCAGCAGTGGTGGTGTGCAGTGCACTGTGCATTTGTGTTGTATTGGAAAGGCTATGGGAGGCGTGCTGAGCATAGTGGGTCCAGGGGACATTGGGCATAGCAGATCCTGGAGGGTCGGGTGAGGGAGCTGTGTGGTGCAGCATGGCCCCACACCCATACAGGAAGGGGCACGCTGGCTGCACAGGGCCAGGTGGCCCAGTGTGCATCTGACCATGTCATGCATGCTCCATTGCCCCTGGCAGGCCCCTGCCTGCTGCTTGCCTCCTCACTGGAGGGCTGGGGCAGGGGGAGGAAGTGCAGGGGCATGGTCCCAGCTGCGCCTACCTGGGGCAGCTTCCGGGAAGCTGCCGGCAGGTCCCTCTGAGTCCTAGGGTCAGGGGTGGCTGGGTGGGGGGTCTCCATGTGCTGCTCCCACCACAAGTGCCAGCTCTGCTGCTCCCATTGGCTGGAACCTTGCCAATGGGAGCTGTGGGGGCAGGGTTTGCATGGTGCAGGCAGCACGCAGAGCCCCCTCGCTGCCCCTGACCCTAGAAGCCAGAGGGACCTACCTGGGGTGGGGTTGGGATCCCAGCAGCACTTACCTGGGGCAGCTCTGGAGAACTGGCCAGCAGGTCCTTCTGGCTTCTAGGGTCGGGGCAGCCAGGGGACTCTGCACGCTGCCCACGCCTGCACCCCTGCAGGCCCTACAGCTGCAGCTCCCATTGGCCGCGACAGAGCTGGCGCTGGTGGTGGGCGCAGCATGCAGAGACCCCGCTGGCTACCCAGTGCCTACAGGCCGCAGGGTCCTGCCGGCCACTTCCCAGGAGCTGCATGGGAGTCTGCCAGCTAGGGTGACCAATCCACTCCAGCCCCACGCCAAAATATCGGGACAAATGACATCCCGACCATACATCGGTCAGGACATGGGACAAACAACTAAATATCGGGACAGTCCTGATTTTATCAGGACTTCTGGTCACCCTAGCTATATAACACAAAATCACACTAGAGAACAGCATGACTATCTCCTTACGCACCTATCTACAAAGAGGGAAAATGTGATCATGGGGAACTTCAATTTGAGTGACATATGCCGGAGGTCTCATGCTGCCAATACTAAAACATCCTTGGAATTTTTAAACGTTATAGATGACAATTTCCTAACTCAAAAAATGTTGCAGCCAACACAGGAGAATTCTATGTTAGACTTGTCCTAACAAATAAAGAGGAACTGTTTTTCACAGAAATCAAAAGTTAATGGTAGCTTAGGAACAAGCGATCATGACCTGATCATATTTATAATGTGCAAGCAAAATAAAGTCCAGACGAGTAATTACACACACACACAAAATATTTAAATAAGGCCAGTTTCACAAAGCAGAAAACAATTAACAGCCAAACCCACTGGGAGGATGATTTTAATCAGAAACATTTCAACGATAATGGAGAATCATTGAAGAACATCTTACCAGATGGCCAAAAAGCCACAATCCCACCAATGAGAAAGCAGCGCTGGTTTAAAAGCGGGCCTGATGTAGAGGGGACTTGAAGGCAGCTTTAAGATACAAGGAGAAATTATGACCAGCAGAGTTAAGGACAATAAAAAGGAGTTTTTAAAATATATTAGGAACAAAAAGAATCCTGACAATGGTATTGGTTCATTGCTAGATGGAAATGGCAGAATTATCAATAATAATGCCGAAAAGGCAGAGGTGTTCAATAAATATTTCTGTTCTGTGTTTGGGGAAAAAACAGATTACATAATCTCATCATATGGTGATGATAATACCCTGTCCATTCCACCTGTGTGTCTAGAGGATGGTAAACAGGCGCTACTAAAGCTAGACATTTTTAAATTAGCAGGTCCAGATAACTTCCTCCGAGAGGTTTAAAAAAGTTGTCTGAGGAGCTCGCTGGACCACGAATGTTGATTTTCAATAAGTCTTGGAATACTGAGGAAATTCCAGAAGACTGCAAGAAATGTTGTGCTAATTTTAGAAACGGGTAAACAGGATGACCTTGGTAATTATAGGCCTGTCAGCCTGACATCGATCCCAGGCATGCTAATGAAAAGGCTGATACTGGGCTCGATTAATAATGAACTAAAGGAGGATAATGTAATTAAGGCAAATTAGCGTGGGTTTGATGAAACTAGATCCTGTCACACTAACTTGTTTGCTTTTTTTTTATGAGTTTACAAATTGGATTGATGAAGGTAATTATGTTGACATAATACACTGACTTGGTAGCACACAACATTTTGACTAAAAAACTTGAAAAATATAAAATTAACATGGCACACATTCAATGGATTAAAAACTGACTAACTGATAGGTCTCAAAATTTCACTGTTAACGGGATTCGTCACTGAGCTGGTCTGTTTCAAGCAGAGTACCCTCTAGACGCAGTTCTTGGCCATTAGCTGTTTAACATCTTTATGAATGACCTGGAAGAAAACATGAAATCATCATTAATAAAGTCTGCAGCTCACAGAAAAATTGGGGGAGTGGTAAATAATGAAGAAGACAGGTCACTGATTCAGAGCAATCTAGATTGCTTGGTAAATTGGGTACTGGCAACACTAACATGGCTAAATATAAATGTATACATCTGGGAACAAAAAATGTATGCCATATTAACAGGATGGGGGACTTTATCCTTGGGAGCAGTGACTCTGAAAAATATTTGGGGTGTGGGTGAATAATCATCTGAACATGAGCTCCCAATGTGACACTGTGGCCAAAAGAGCTAATGCAATCTAAATAGGAATCTCAAGTAGGAGTAGAGAAATTATTTTACCTCTGTATTTGGTTACACAGTGTGACCATTACTGGAATATTGCTTCCAGTTCTGGTGCCCGCAATTCAAGAAAGATGTTGATTGATTGGTGACCGTTCAGAGAAGAGGCATGAGAATGATTAAAGGATTATAAACCATGCCTTGTAGTGATTGACTCAAGGAGCTCAATCTATTTATTTTAACAAAGAGAAGATTAATAGGTGATTTGCTTACAGTTTCTAAGTTCCTACATGGAACTAATATTTAATAATGAGCTCTTCTATCTAGCCAAGAAAATATAACATTGTCTGGGAGTTGAAGCTAGACAAATTCAGACAGGAAATAAGATGTGCATTTTTAATGGTGAGAGTAATTAACCACTGGAACAATTTACCAAGGGTTGTGGGGGATTCTCTGTCACTGACAATTTTTAAATCAAGATTGGATGTTTTTCTAAAAGCTCTGCTCTAGGAATTGTTTTGGGGAATTGCTAGGGCCTGTGGTACACCGGAGATAAGACTAGAAGATCACAGTGGTCCTTTCTGGCCTTAGAATCTATGCAAACATAGCAAATAAAAAGATATGACACAATCACTGTTTCAAAGAGTTTGCCATCTAAGGCTTTGACCCTCCAACTTGTAGAGCATGGACTGATCCTCGTATCTGTATGGAGCCCTTTTGGCTACTGTGGGGTAGT